ATGGTTAATTGAATTAGAAAATTCATTGAGAAATTAGAAAATAAGTATATGTAATAGGACTCCATGCTGTCCAATTAAGAAATAATTGGACGAGGAAAATTCCAAGGACTGACAAAATTGGATGAGGCCGTAGGCCGAGTCTAATTATTTCTTGATTGGGGAGTATGAAATCCCTTTACCTATTAATTATATAGCTGCCTAATTAATCCCATACCAACAAGACCTGTCCAATTAAGAAAATAATTGGACAGTTACCTATATGGGATTAATGAGAAGCTGTATTATTAGACAACGAATTGGGTTATTATATAATGACAGAAAGAAAAGATGCTAATTGAACGATATAAGCTAATTGTTCAAAAGATTTGTAGTTTCTTTTCAATTCAAACTTCATAATGGAATTGATATCATAAAAATTAATTTCTATGAATTATTCAGTTTTATGAATGAAATAATTGAAAATTAGAGTAGAGCCAATCAAAAAACAGCAGAAAACAATAGCTGCTAAAGATATATTTTTATTGTTATTGACAAAATAATGATGGCTAAGTGTGTATGTGGCCCCTGCTACAGTAGTTGCTCTGTAAAAACCCTCATGATTAAARCAAAGGAGAGAATCAAGAAGTAGATCTACTCATATACGACACTGTGTACAGGAATGGAACTAACTGTTGTCTAAATGGAAACAACAATCATAGAAATCTGAGTCACCCAGGAAAAGCCTATGAATCGACCATGGACATTTTCTCAGCACCAAACAACAGCAATAATTATGCCCCAAAAGACGCTGGATAGGGCCTCATAATCGTTGTACATGCTATTTTCCTTAGGTTTTTGAATAAATAATTTATCAACAACATAGGGAAAATAGCATGTAGCCAGACCAAAATGTTTACCAAGGCAAAAGAGTGGTGAAGGGGAAGGCAACTAGAACAAGGGGGGTTCAGTTCACATGCCCCCTCCCCTTGGAAATGTTTTGAAATTGAGATCCATGGAAATGTGATTTCATGGAGCATTGAGGGGCATTTGTGAATAATATCTAYGGCGGCAACTGCTTGGCTTGCCTCATAGTTGCTATGGTCCTGGTTACGTTTCTAATAAATGAGCAGGAGTTTTTTTAATCAAATGCTGAGATCTGATTGGCTGACCTACCACTTCATTAATTTTGTACATTTTATATTTTGTCTAATGACCTTCATTCAACGTGGTCAATGTACTTAGCTAAAAGCTACTTTACAAACATGCCACAAAATTCTACATTTCCTGGTTGTTGTTATGGATTACGAATTCTCACAATATGCATAATATAAATAGCATAATGTATTCCAAAATAAACTTATTAACTAACATTTGCCCCCCCCCTCCCTCTGTTATATGAGCCCATTAGTTTACTGACACAAACAACAACAACAATGTATTTTATATTTCTATCAGCCTATTCAGAGTATTTTATAATCTTATGAGTTCAAATATTATTTGGACAATGACTAAGAGTTACAATGTTCACCATTCTAAATGAATAAATTAAAGAATAGTGTGGAGAGTAGCCACATAGTAGTGTGTAGTGTAGTAGTGTGTAGTGTACTATCTCCAGGTCGGGCAATCTTATATTTTTCGAATATTTAAAAWAATCAATCTTGAGTTTTTGATTTTCAGCATCAAATTACAGTAACTAGTCATGAATGTTGAGATAAAAAATGAAAGGAAAAAACTTCGAATTTGGCATAAAAATATTTTTGTGTCCATCAATCTTAACTTATTAACTTACATTTGCCACCCCTGGTTATAAGCCTACTCAGTCTACTAACATAAATATCCTCGTAGTTACAAGCCCCCCTGGTCATAACCCCACTAGTCTACTAATTAATGCAAATATCCTTGTAGTTACAACCCCCCCTGGTTATAACCCTACTAGTCTACTAATGCAATTATTCTTGTAGTTACAAGCCCCCCTGGTTATAACCCTACTAGTCTACAAATCAATTATCCTTGTAGTTACAAGCCCCCCTGGTTATAACCCCACTAGTCTACTAATGCAATTATCCTTGTAGTTACAAGCCCCCCTGGTTATAACCCTACTAGTCTACTAATGCAAATATCCTTCCAGTTATAAACCTACCCAGGCTATCACCATGTTTAGTGATCATAACTTATGCATTGACTGGGAAAATAAATAAAGAACTGTTTCTTCTTCAACCAAAATGTTTTTCTATCTGTTAGGAGCCCACCCCCAGCTATAAACCCATCATACAAATTCAACAGATAACCAGGATATCA